GCAGCTATCGCAAACCAAGAATGTCACAGTGATAACTCACTGCATCTCATGCAAACCAACTGCACCGTAGAGAGAACCTACAGGGTGTAATGAAAACAAGCTGAATCATAGTGGAAGCCATCAGCATCTTTTGTAAAAGGATATAATCACAGTACAACACTACTGTCTAATCTGAACCAAAATTATCACACTAAAACTGTACAATGTCTTGTGAAAGCCAATGTTATCACAGTAAAATACTACAGTGTATAGACCAAACAACAATATCACAGTATAACACTACAGTGTATAGAACGAACCAACAGTATCACAGTAAAACTCATACAGCTCCTGGTGTAAACCAACAATGTCACAGTAAAGCACTAGTGTAGGGTCCAAACCAACAATATCACAATAAAATTCTATATCATCCAGTGCAAACCATTGTTACCGCAGTGATATCTGATAGCATTTAATTCAAATGAACAGTAACAGAGTTAAACTACACAACTTTGAGGTCAGACCCACAGCACCACAGTGGAATTCCAAAGTACCTGGCCCAAGCTAACAGCAACACAGTGAAATACTACAATGCCTCGTACAAGTCCATATTGTCACAGTGTAATCCTATATCTAGTCCAAACCAACAATATCATAGTGAGACCCTACAATGTCTAGCCCAAACCATATCATTGTGAAATTCTATTGTGCCTAGTTAAACCTATAATAGCATAGTGAAAGTCTAGTGCCTGGTCCAAATCTACAATATCACAGTGACACTCTCCAGCTTTGAATGCAAAACAAGGGCAGGACAGTAAAACTTCACAGCGCCTAGACCATACCAAGAGTATCAGAACACCTAGCTTAAACTGACAGCATCACACTGAAATCGTACAGCTTCAAGTAGAAATTAAGAGTATCACAGCGACAAGTAGAAGCATCTCATCCAAACCAACAGCATCACCATGAAATCCGACAGTGCCTGGTTCAAACCAACAGTATCTCCTTGCCACTGTGGAGTGTTTAGTCCAACCAACACTATTGAAACTCAACATTGTCTGCTCCAAACCAACAGTGTCACAGTGGCACCATACAGCACCTAGGCCAACCCAACAGCATGAAATTCTGCATCTAGTCCAACCCAACAGTATGACAGTGAAACTCTACTGTGTCTGGTCAAAATGAACAGTATCACTGTGAAACTGTACAGCTTTGAGCCTGAACAAACAGTACCACAGTGAGATCTTCCAACATCTAGACTCTGTCATCATGAAACAGACATAGAGACACTCTTCAAGTTTGACACCATCTGTGGAAAGAGACACAAAGTTATCAGTTGGAATCTGGTATGTCAGTTCTTCTGTTCGGAAGAACAGCCACATTGGACTCAAAATATTAACTCCATTTCTCCCTCCACAAATCAGGTCAGACCCCCTGAGTGTCTCCATTGTTCTCGATGTTTGTTTCAGATTTCTACCATCTACACTATTTTGCCTTTTTTCAGATGTCATTACGAAAATCTACTGCATCTAATCAAACCAACAGTGACACAGCGTCGCATCAAAACAACACTGTCAAGTGACACTCTCCAACTTCAAGTCCAAACCAAAAGTAGCAGAGAGAAAGTTGACATCGCCTAGACTAAACCAACGGTATCAAAATCAGTCTTGATTAAGCCAGCCACATTGCAATGAAATTCTACGACATCCCATCCAAAACAAAAGTTCGACAGTGACAATCTATAGCGTCTCAGCCAACAACATTGTAGTGAAACACAAGACCATTTAGGGCAAACCAACCTATTCACAGCTACACCCCACAGTTATGTGTCCAAACCAACAATATCACTGTAAGAGACAGTAGGAACTGCCGATGCTGGAGAATCTGAGATAACACAGTGTGGAGCTGGAGGAACACAGCAGGCCAGGCAGCATCAGAGGAGCAGGAAAGCTGACATTTCGGGTTTGGACCCTTCTTCAGAAAACTCCAGACCTGAAACGTCAGCTTTCCTGCTCCTCTGATGCTGCCTGGCCTGCTGTGTTCATCCAGCTCCACACATTGTAATATCACTGTAAGGCTGAGCAGCATCTAGTTCAAATCTACAGCATCGCTGTGAAACCCTATTGTGTCTCAGCATCTCAGTGATGTCCTATTGTATCGTATCGAAATCAACGGCATCATAGTAACACTCCACACTGTCTGGTCCGAATCTACAGTATCACAGAGAAAGCCTTTATCATTTAGTCTGAATCAACTGTATGACAGTAAATCTTATCCTGTCTTTTCCTTCAGTATTAGAGTGAAACTCCGTTGTATCCTCCCTCCTCGGTGCCTACAGCCCCAAGCACGCCTTGCAGATGAAGCAGCATGTTATTTTTACTTCTTTTAATTTAGTCTACTCTATTCGCTAGTCACAATGTAGTTTTCTCTACAACGGCGGGACCAAAGATTTGGCAACTGCTTTATGGGATACCTCAGCTCTGTCTGCAAGACTGGCCCCAATGTTCCAGTTGTTTGCCTCTTCCATACATCAACTTTCTCGCCTGCTAACATTTCTATCCGAGGCCTGCCACAGTATTCCAGGAAAAAGGCAATTCAAGCTGGAGGAATAGCACCTCATTTTTGGCACAGACATTACAGCCTTTCGGATGCAACCATGAATTCAACAAATTGAAAAGATGAACACAGTCCTCCATTATGACCCTCACCCCAACCAGTGTCTTGGTTGCATGGATCTACTCTCAGCAGAGGTGACCTACTTTCGACTATTCACATCTACTTTGCATCTCAACCTCTCCTTTACTACATCAGCACTCCAGTTGTCTCTTGCTCTGGGCATCCTCAACATTAGTTCCACTTGATCATTTTCGGCAAGAGCATAAAAACCATCATTTTACATTTTGTGTTTCTCTCACCACAGATTCTGTGTGATCTGCTGAATTTCTCCGGTTTTTACGAACCTCCGTGAAACCCCAAAAGCATTTAGCTCAAAACAACAATGATACCAGCCGCATTACAGAGAAATTCTACAATGCTGAGTCCAATGCAATTCTATCACAGTAAGTTAACAGCAAGCTCCAGAGTTATCGATGACTGCTCTCTAATTGCTGTAGCAGGCTCACCAAAACCCTTTCAGGACCTTCCTCAGCATGTATCACTTGTACGACTTTACATGAATGATTCTTAAATTCCTCAGGACGAACAGAGATGGACAACAGTTATGCAGTTTCTTGCACTGCCTGCGATAATTAGCTCTGTTGGCTGGTTTGCAATGCAGAGTCATACCAACAGTATGGGTTCAGTTCCTGTACTGGCTGTGGTTTCTATGAAGGACCTTCTTTCTCAACCTCTCCCTTCGCTTGAGCTGTGGTGGCCCTCACCATCAGTTGTCCCTCACGAATGAGGCAGTGGGACTATGGCAACTTTACCTTTACCTTACAATCCAGAAGCAAGGCAAGTATCGGACCTGTGTGCTATGGGCATGGCTTAACTGTAGTATCTCCTGCCTCCCCACTCTACATCTTTCCAATTTGTCCTTTTCGCTATTTCGTATGAAGCCTTCATGTAAAAGTGATCGATTTACTGGCGGAGCGTGGTGACCTTTTTTTACACAAACCATTCTTAGGATCTACACATCACCAGAGAGGCCAGCATTTATTACCCATTCCCCTTTACAGTCATCACAGCGGTCATGCCTTTGAGCCACTGCAGTCTGTAGTTGGTAAGCAGCATTTTCGGTGTTGTTAGGTAGGACATACAATACAGGAATTATGATCAGCAACAAAGGCTGTACTGTCCAAGTGAGGTTGTCCGTGGCTTGGAGAGAAATGAGACGGCTGCCTTTCTGACCCACATAAATTAAGATCCAGACTGAGCTGGCTCAAAATCATTTCACAACGGGTTGCTTTGGGTACAAAGTGCAGAACAGAAAACAGCATGGAGCTGGATTCAAATTGGGACAGTCAAGTCCTCTCAGGAACAACTAAAACAACATCAGAAATCAGCTTTGGGTTCTTTCCTTGGGACTGGTGATGGTACAGCAAGTTTGTACACTGGAATTTAACTTGTGATCTGGGTTTGCATGCAGCCTGGACCGACAAAGTGTGACCCTCTGCTAGCTGCAAATTTGTATGGCCTTGACCAAGATCCTAGTGGCCATGATCGATGAAGCACCAATCCACAACTTACCTGGCACTGGGGAAACTTTTTAAGAGGATTTAGGGACGGGCAATAATGCTGACATTCCAAGAATAAATAAAAAGATAAGGAGCGCTCTTCTGTGGTTAGGGACTGTAGTGCATTTTTACAGCACTGATGTTTGCCATACAAAAATTCTCCATCCTCTTGCGTGGTGGCTCAGTGGTCAGCACTGCTGCCTCCAGCACGAGGGACTCAGGTTTGATCCCACCCTCGGGTAACTGTCTGTGTGGAGTTTGCCATTCTCCCCGTGTCTGCATGGGTTTCCTCTGGGTGCTCCAGTTTCCTCCCACAGTCCAAAGATGTGTAGGTTAGGTGGGTTGGCCATGCTAAATTGCCCATAGTGTTCAAGGACGTGCAGGGTAGGTGGATTATCCATGGGAAATGCAGATGTATAGGGTAGTGGGGGGAGTGGGATGCTCTTCAGGTCAGTGTACACTTGATGGGCTGAATGGCCTGCTTCTATACTGTCGGGATTCTATGATTGTAAATGTCTCTGACCATGAACAGTTTAATTGAAACTCTGGAACATTTAGGTAGAAATGAAATCAATCTTTACAGCCAATGTTACTTTTCGATAAAGTATATTTGATTAAATTAAATGTCTAAACTACGTTTTCCTGAGTTATCCACCAGCAAACATCTCAGAGTGCAGAAAAAGGCCCTTCAGCCCATTGAGTCTGTGCTGGTCAGAAACAAAACCTAAAATTCGAAACCCATTTTGCAGCAACTGGCCTCCTACCTTGTAGGCCTCTGTATCGCAAATGCGCATCTTAAATCAGGAGAGGAGTCTTACTGCTCGGAATAAGGTTACAATTACTTACCGCTGCAGGTAAACTCTTTCTTTGGGACGTCAGCAACATAGAGGCCCCTCAGGTGAATGGGGCCAGTGCACTGGGCGTATTGGCCAATGGGATGGCGTTGCCGCAGCCAATCAGAAAGCCAGGCCAAGTGGCAGTTACAGAACAGGTTGTTGGAATGAAGTCGCCTGTAGGGAGAGGGTGAGGAGACCAGGTAAGGGAAAGGTAACAAACTGGTGAAGTGCTGCCCTGTTCTTTCACACACTCCCACACACACAGAGACACAGAGACACAGACACACACTCACACACAGACACACACACACACACACACACACTCACACACAGACACACACTCATACACAGACACACACTCACACACACACTCATACACACACACACACACACTCATACACACACACACCTACACACACACACTCTCACACACACACACACACACTCATACACACACACACACCTACACACACACACACAATCACACACACACACACAGACACACACACACACACACACACACACACACAA